ATGGCCTGGCCTCCACAGCCTTCTGTGGCAGTGAATTCCATAGATTCACCACTCTCTGGCTGAAGTAGTTTCTCCTTATCTCCGTTCTAATAGGTCTTCCGTCTACTCTAAGGCTGTGCATCTTCCCAACATCCACTCTGTCCAGGCCATTCAGTATTCTGTAAGTTTCAATTAGATCTCCCTCATCCTTCTAAACTCCAATGACTATAGTCCGAGAGTCCTCAAACGTTCCTCACATGTTAAGTTTTTTCATTGCTGGGACCATTAACCTGGATTTAACTAGATTACAAGTCCAGTGACATTGTCACAACGTCACCATTTCCTCAGAGATGAGGCATTGATACTTATTTCAATAAAGGCACACTCATTCTGGGCATCAGGAAGAAGGTATTGATTTGAAGGGGGTGCAGTGCAGATTCAGTCAATTGACTCTGAGATTTGGAGGATTGAATGATAAGGCCAGGTTGGGTAAATGTGGGTTTGTGTTCCCTGAAGTGTAAGGGATTCAGGTCATCTAATTAAGGTCATAGAATCCCTACAGTGGAGACACGGGCCATTCAACCCATCAAGTCCACAATAACCCTTCGAACAACATCCCACCCAGACCCATCCCCCTACCGTGTCTCTGTAACCCTGCATTTCCCATGGCTAATTCACCTAATTTACACATCCCTGGATGCTATGGGCAATTTAGCATGGCCAATCCACCTAAACTTTGGGCTGTGGGAGGAAACCAAAGCGCCCAGCAGAAACCCATGCAGACACAGAGAATGTGCAAACGCCACATGGAATTGAGACGGCCATTCTGGAAGACCAGTTTTCAAATCCTATTCTTGTAAACTCAATTTCACACCATTCTGTTACAGTACCCTCAAATTTGGCATTTCTGTAGAAAACATTTTTGGAAATTAACAGTTAAAAGACTTCATCATTTTCCCTAATTTAAGAATCTATTTCCCTGCCTTTTTGAGATCATGACCTATTTTTACTTTTTGTTTGTTCCAAGTATACTGCAAAGAATGCTTCATTGTTCTCCATTTCACTCCCCAATCTGGCTTCTTTGTGATCCCTCTTTCCCACCCTCATCATTTCCTTGGCATTCCACTGCCTATTATTATAGATTGTCCAATCCTGTTCCTCTCTGAAACATTTAAATACTTTTTCTTCTCGTCCTTTTGCATGTCCTTATTCTGCAATGAATGTACCTCAAGGCAGAGTTTGTTCCTGTGCAAAATACTTAAGTATGCGTATTAAATTCCTTTCTTTTGTGTCAGCCGAACACAAAAAAAATGCAGTGAAGTTTAACACAAGTATTTTCATTGTTCATTCAAGCACAGAAATTAGTCAGAAAATGTCAGGATGGATAACTACCTCAGCGTAAATCTATGGTTTTGGATGAACTGCTCATTACAGAATGTATATGATTGTCATTTTCATTCAAATCAATGGAATAGTGATTTCTGTAATGGTTGGGCAGTCTGCTTCACTGTGATACATGAGGAAACATTTTTATGAAGCAAGTTGTAATGATCTGGAATAAAGAGTCCAAAATGCTAGTGGAAGCAGATTTAATAGAGACATACAAAAGGGAATTGGATAAATGCACGAAGGTAAAATATTTACAGGGCTATGGGGGAGAGAGGTAAGTAGGACATTACAAAATGTCGTTGCATTTTGGGTAAACTTTTTGAAGAGTCAGCAGTGGTGTTAAGGGGCAAATGGCCTCTTACTGTGCCATAACATTCTCTGATTCTGCTACTGTCCTAACAATAATAACGTGAATTCTTCTGCCTCAAACCTGTTGAGGTCCTCAGAAGAAGCACAACTTGTGTTTCGATAGCAGCTCCATTACTTAAAAAAGAAATAGTTCCCTCATACAGAACTCCTTTCATGACTTCAGGGAGTCTCAAAGCTTCACAGCTGATGGAGTACTTTCAAAATTTTCGTCACTGTTGTAATGAAGAGAAATGGGGCAGACAATTTGTGCACAGTAAGCTCCCACAAGCAATAGTGCTGTAATGACTGGATAATCTGTCTTTTTGACTGATGTTGGCTGAGGAATAAATACTGTCAGGACACTGGAGATGTTTCGCCAGGTCATCACCAAGTTGCCTTGTTGGATATTTTATTACTAGCTGAAAGGGTTGTCAAATTCTCAGTTTTAACATCTCATCTGAAAGGCAGCACTGTGATACGTCTCAGCTTGAACTCATTATTAACAGTAGAAATAAAAATAGACATTGCTGGAAATAAGCAACAGGGCTGGAAATGCCAATGGGGAGAAAAGCAGAGTTAACATTTCAGGTTTGTGATCTTTCATTATCTTTTATCATCTTTTCATGCTGGTGCAGGAGGTGGCCAGCATTTATTGTCCATCCTGAGTTGCCCTGGAGAAGGTGGTGGTGAGCCACCTTCTTGCACCACTGCAGCTCATGTAAACCCACCATACTGTTAGAAACAGAATTCCGAATTTTGACTTAGAAACACTGAAGGAATAGTTGTATATTTCTCTCGGAAATTTCACCATATTTCAGGATGGTGAGTAGCTTGGCTTGGAATGGGACTTGCAGTTGCTGGTTTATACATGTATCTGCTGACCTTGTCCTTCTAGATGGGTGTAGCCATAGGTTTGGAAGGTGACATCTCTTGGTGAATATCTGTAGTGTAGGTCATACACACTACTACTAATGAGCGTCAGTGGTGAAACAAATGAATGTTTGCAGATGTGGGGTCAATTAAGCTGGTTGTTTTGTTCTGGATGGTGGCAAGCTTCTTGAGTGTTATTGGAACTGCAGTCACCCAGACAGTTGGAGAGTATTCCATCACATTTCTTACTTATGTCTTGTTGATGATGGACAGGCTTTGGGGAGGGGTGAGGTTGGAGGAATGGGGGTGTGGGGGACATCAGGAGTTGAGTTACTCACTGCAGGATTCCTAACCTGTGTTCTGCCTTGCATAATGTATTTATTGCTCATGATCTCATCTTCTCCACAGTGAGGAGACCAAATGCAACCAGAGTGGCTCTTTAGTAGAACACCTCCATTTAGGCCATAAGCATCATTCTGACCTGTCTATCAATTTTTATTTCAAGATCATATCTTGTTCCCATCCTAACCTTTCTCCCCTTGGCCTGCTATGTGGTTCCAATGAATCTCAATAGAAACTCAGCATTTTACAGTCTTCCGGGCTCAACACTGAGATTGACAATTTCAGATCATAAACTCTGTTTTTCCTTTGCTGGATCAGTTTTTTTTTTCCCTCTCTCTTGTTCCCTTCTAAATCTCTTTACTTCAATGGCTGCTATCCTACCCTTCACACCTCATCTAGACATGTCATTTAGAAACGTCACATATTTCTGAGGAAGGGTCACCAGACCTGAAATGTTAACTCTGATATTTTCTTCACAGATGCTGCCAGACCTGCTGAGTTTTCCCAGCAATTTTGTTTTTGTTCTTGAGTTACAGCATCCGCAGTTCTTTCGGTTTTCATTTGTTTCTTTACTTGTTCCGTTACCACTCTTCTCAGCCCTTTTACTATGGATACAGAATGGCAAAATTGTTTGAGCACAGAAGGAAGCCCTTCTGATCATCTTGTCTGCACTGACTCTTCAAATAGACATTTCACCCAGTGCCTTTTCCCCATTTCGTCCTCTTTACCCTGTGCATTCTTCCTTTCAGGTAAATCTCATTCATGTTCGAATGCTTCAGTTCAATATGCCTCCACTGTAACTCTCAGTCAGTGCATTCCAGACCCTAACAACTCTGTGTGATAAAGTTGGACTTTTAACACTTTTGCTTCCTTCACTAATTCCTTAAAATCTGTGCGCTGCAGTCTTTGAACTTTTCATGGCCAGGAAGATTTTCTCCCCTTTTACTCTGTCATTTATCTAGCCCTCAAGCCTGTCACTTGTGCAAAGCCTTTTACATCGGTAAATTTTCTCAGTTTTGATGAGAAGTACAGGACTGAAATGTTAACTCTTTCTCTCTCTGAGCAGATGCTGCCAGACTGAGTCTTTCAGGACTTTTACTCTTTCTTTCAGATTTACAGAATCTGCAGCATTTTACTTTTGTCCACATTGATTTCAAGATGGAATAACATGAGTTGCAAAAACAGGAATTGCTGAAAAAGCTCAGCAGGTCTGGCAGCGTCTATGGAGAGAAATCAGAGTTAATGTTTCAGGTTAGGTGATCCTTCTTCAGAACTGTTGGTAGCTAGGAAAAAAATTCTGAGTTCTGAGGAAGGGTCATTCAACCCGAAACGTTAACTCTGATTTCTTTCCACAGATGCTGCCAGATCTGCTGAGCTTTTCCAGTAATTTCTGTTTCTGTTTCTGATTTACAGCATCCACAGTTCTTTCAGCTTTTATGCAGCCAGGAAAAAGCTGGTTTTTATGCAGAAGATAGGGTGGAGGTAGGGGATAAGGACTAAACAATAGGTGGAGATAGAGCCCAAAGAGAAAGAAGAACACTTGGACAGTCAGACGAGTGCTTAACAGTCAGGTAGGGGAATGAATAGCTACTGATGAGGACTCTTAATGGCTAACAATGGATTGTTTGTAATAGCAGACCATGTGATAACAAGGCCTGGTGTGTGGGGGTGGGGTAAGGACATGTAGGAAAGTGCTTCAAGCCCTAAAATTGTTGAACTCGATATTGAGTCCAGGAGGCTGTAGAGTTCCCAAATGGAAAATTAGGTGCTGTTCTTCCAGAATGCACTGAGCTTCACTGAAGCCCTGAAGCAAGCCTGAGACAGAGATGTTGGCCAGGGAACACAGTGGTAAGCTGAAGTGGAATGCAACTGGAAGCTCAGGGTCATTTTTACAGACAGAATGTAAGTGGTTTGCAAAGCAGTCATCTGGTTTAAGCTTCGTTTCCCCAACTGCATCTCTCCACAGATGCTGCCAGACCTGCTGAGCTTTTCCAGTAATTGCTATTTTTTCCCCTACTTTCCAGCATTTGCAGTTCTTTCGATTTTTATAATATGAGTTTTCTTGTTTCTAGGCTAGAGCTATCAGACAGAGAATCGGATATCCACCTGACATCAAAGACAATGCCAAACTGAACGCTGAGTATAAAATGGTAAGGTACTGCTATGATCTCCGACTTATTTGGTGTCAATCATTTTGTCCGCAAACTCATTCAACTCATCAAAACTTTTGTTGTACAATTACATCTCAAATTTCCACAATAGAGTTCAAAATTAAAAGGGTCAATTTTAATCCCAGAACATGGGTGTATTTGAAGCTAGAATTTATAAGATGAAACACAAGAACAAACCACTTCGATGGAGACAACAACTGGCCAACCTGCTCACAAAAGGAAATCCAACTGGCAAAACATTTTAAGGACCCTGGGAAGCCGTTTTTACTTTTACTTTCTTTTTAATTCCGGCTGGGTTTCCAGGAGTTCAGGAAACCCAGCAGGGGAAAGCAGCTAAGAAGAGCTAGATTCATAATGTCTTCACGTGACTGTGCATCCGGAAGATATATTGTCCCCCAGACAAGCTGCCATGTAAATGCCTCCTCCCCCTCCACAAATGGTGTGCTATCACCTCACCACTGTTTAACATTCCTCCTCACAAACTAGCATCATCTTCACACCCTCCTAATCCATTCGCCTGGCCTCAATTTTTCCCAGTTTCACTACTGACTCCTCTGATCCATCCTGTTTATCAGGGAAGCTGGAGAAAAAGTATTAAGAGATGCTGTATAGTTAAAAAGTTCTGGTATTTAGGAGACTCAAATGTCTGGCTTTTCATGTATAATCCCCATTTTCACCCCACACATGCAGTATGGGAAACCTCATAAGTTTTGGGAAAGATACGAGGGGAGCTGGTTTGCAACAGCACAAGCAAAAGCCTGGACATCATGTCAATACATCCCATTCATTTTAGAGATGGAAATTCGAATTTCCCACCCTGAATCTCCAATCTCCCCAGGGCCTCATCCTTCCCTGTCAGTGTCACTTCCTCCTGCCCTGCAGGTTTCAGAGATGTCAGCTCTGATCCAAGTCTTGTGCATTCCAGATTTTCATCAATCTACCATTGGCAGCCATGCATACAGTTGCTTGGCTCTAAAATTCTAGGGTTCCTTCCCCAACACTCTCCATTGCAAAACCTCATCCTTTCATTTAAGATGCTGTTTCAAACCTGGCATTTTTAAGACATCATTGGTCATCTGTCTTAACAGCTGCTTCTTTGGTCCTCCTTTGAAGCATCTCAGGAGGTTTTACTCAGTTAAGGGAGCTCTCTAAATGCAAGTAGCCATTCTCATTGTTGACTACGGTGGAACACAACCAGTAGCAGCTGGCAATGATGGGGTGGCGACGGTTTAGTGGTATTATCGCTGGACTTTAATCCAGAGACCCAGCTAATGTTCTGGAGACAGGGGTTCAAGTCCTTCCATGGCAGATAGTGGAATTTGAATTCAATAATATCTGTAATTAATGATGACCATGAATCCATTGTTAATTGTTAGAAAAACTAATGACCTTTAGGGAAGGAAACTGCCATCCTTACCTGGTCTCGCCAACATTTGACTCCAAACCCACAGCAATGTGGTTGACTCTTAACTACACTCTGGGCAAATAGGGATGGGCAATAAATGCTGCCTAGCCAGTGACACCCATATCCCATGAATGAATAAAAAAATTCTCTGGAAAAAGAAGCTGGAAACTGCAAATTGAAGAATTGCTGCATGAAATGTGTCAGCTTAAAAGGTTAAGCATTACATATCATGAATTTAACATCAGGATGTGGAGATGAGATAAATTTGTAAGAGATTTCTAGAAACCCGACTCAGAATCTGACCCAAGTGAGTTTGATTGCCAAGTTGGTAACAGAAAATGGCATGAAGACTGAAGGGCATCTGCTGATTTTGGATCAAATATTAGTTTAACATGGGAGAATCATAATTTCAAATGCTATAGCCTTTGCAGGTGAGGTTCTGTGTTTAGTGAAGATGGATTCCTATGATGAGCTGATCACTATTGGTGACATTGTCAGGGACTGTGGGCTTTTACTGACACACAGCTTCTGTGCTTGCACTCCAAACAAGTGCTAAATACAGTTTAACTGGAATGAAAGAAAGATTGTATTAATATTCCTTTCTTTATCTATGATGGTGAACCAGCTGAGCTCAAGTCAACCAATCAAATAATGCTCAGAGTGAAGTAAGAACTTACATTAATATTGCATCTTTCATGACTTCAGGATGTCCCAATGATCCTCATAGCCAATTTATGCAATTAATTTGCACACAGAAAGATCCTGCAGGCAGCAATGACAAAAATTATTAGTGATTTACTGATGTGAGATGGTTACCAATAGCAATTACTTATTGAGGCAGGTGAGGTATCCCGTGTCTCTCTTCAGAAAAGCGCACAGTGATTTTTTAAAATATCTACCTAACTAATGTCGTCTGAAAGAACTGCTTTCAAAATCATAGCTCCTCAGTAATGCACCGATTTGTCATTCACATTGTACTCTGGAATGGGACTTGTCTCCACAACTTACGATTCAGAAATTTGAGTGCAAGTTTCATCTGCAGCTGGCCTCAAGGAGTCTGATACCTGAGCCTCATTTTCCCTTCCTTTCAACCACCTCCAGTAGCTCTCATTGCTAGGAAATAAGAGGCTGTTTGCATTCTAAAGTCAATGCAGAAGTTTTGCCCAGATGATCAGTCTGCTACAGATTCTCCGTGCTTGATTTTGGAATAATTGACCAAGTCATTCTACCTATTGCAGATCTTTATAGCTTTTTTTGTTATAACCCTGTGCTATATAAGGTAAAACATTTTTTTAAGCACACTTAATTCGTTTTGAATTACATCAGTATCCTTTTTGATGCCTTCTCCATGTGTTTTTCATCCTGGGCCTTCTTGCCAGAATCCCAAGGCCATGATTGAATTTATGTTGGCAGTTTCACTCAGCTTTGTTATCTTTAATGCTGTTACCCGTCTCCAATGCTGAGAGAAGGAAACATGTTTATTAGTGTGTCCCTATCTTTTTCCCTGATTAAAGCCCTTCTGTACAGGCATGATTTGTCTTTGCAGAATGTGCAATTGCTAACAAGGTTTTGTCTTCACTAAATTAGCAATCCCACTTTCATGCCCACAGTTCAGTACTTTTGGTGTCTTCGGTCTTGTGTCTGCCTTCACCTTAATGTCCCATGTTATCAAAATAAGATAAACTCCACACATGGGTTCAAACCAAAACAGTTTGCACACGTTAAAATCAAAGGTCTAAATATAGGGCTTAAACAGCTTTATATATATCGAAAAAGACAAATGATACATTGGCTGACAGAAACTGCTGTACAGAGAAATAAAGCAGGAGCAAAAATATGAAGAAGCATTGAAACAAGGAGCCATTCAGTTTAAGTATTAAAGGGCTAGCTTAGAGCAGCTCAATGGATAGGAATGTTAAATGAGGCCAAGATACCAGTTTTCTGAAGTAACAATGTTGATACTGTGTCAGGAATCAAGGGTTTGTCAGGCTTTTCAATATAAGCTAATCTTGTGCCTGTCCAAGTGACTCAAGAAATTGATCCTCTTTGTTTTACAGCTGAATAGTACTACAAGACAACATTAACTTTCTTTAATGCTATTAACTCTTTCAAGGTTTTCTTTAATTCTTGGTTTGTTTAATGTAGTTTTGTTGGAATGGAACCATGAGGATTGTATGTTAAATTGATTTGAACTGCAAAAAATGGGCAACGACAGAAAGTAGTATCACGGGCTACCATTGCTTTTTGGCAATTGGAATCTCAGCAATGATCATTCTTCATGCGTGGGTATGCAAAGTGAATATCAACAAGCTATCTGACCATGGGGACCATCATGGCTAAACCTGTTTCTATCATCACACAGCATCAGTATTCAAATCATCTTGCAATAATCATTTGGGTAATAATCAGGACAAGAATTAAGTTGATTTTTTGTTCTGTCTCTGCTGTACACCACTCCATTTTTCCAGACTTTTTCTCCCCAACTCTGGCCTCATAGTCACTTTCTTTGTTCTACCATTAGTGGTCATGCCTTCAGCCATCTGGGCCTTGTAGGTTCTGGATTTTTCTGTCTTGCATCTTTATATCTTCCTTAATGATCCTCCATAAAACCTACAAGTCTACCATGTGGTAAAAAACAGTTAAAAATAGATTTAACTTTTTTTGCATTAAACACAATCACCAAATGTCTCAAAGCACTTTGCAGCCAATAAAGTCATTTTTGAACTGCAATCACTGTTGTAAGAGAGAAAACACAGAGGCCAGTTTAAGTCCCCACTGAACACCATGTGATAACAGTTAGTGAATCAGATTTGACATGTTAATTGGGGAATGAATATTTGCTGGGATACTGCGGATAATTCTGTATGTCAATTGTTTAAGACTCTCCCATGTTAACTGTGCTGTTTCAATGCAGTTACCTTCTTTTCCATAAACATGGTCAGTTATAGTCCCACTGCTTAGCCACTGTCAGTCATCCCTTCAGCTGTCTAGACCTTAAAACCTGGAATTACTATTTTTAAGCTTCTCCACCTCCCTCTGTCTTTTATATAACTGGAAGCGGTCATTTTGTAACTACCCTATAAAGCTTTCGTATGTGGGTGCTGGAGCAGCACTAGTAGGAAATCAGCGTCCTGACGGCTGTGTCAATAGAGAACATGTATGGGTGGTATATGAGGCTGATAACTGGAATACGATAGAGATGCAAGATAATTGGTGTGCATTCTTTTCATTCAGTTGAATTTCAGCATCGACGAATATTTCACGAACATTCTTAAAAATATGCAATTAGGACAAAAGAAGAATCTGAAAAAACTCAGACAAAAGGTTAACAAAGAAGTGTAAGTATTCCATTATTTTTCTATTGTGCACTTGAAGTTGTTTCTAAACTTGAACATTTGCAGTTTTACAACACCAGTGACAGGACGGTCAGTCGCTAGAGAAACCCAATTTGGGGTGAGATGTGGAGGGCTTATTTCTTGCTTACTTATGGTGTTTTGTTCAAGCATGCAGTCTATGAAAGGGTGATTGTAATAAATTCAATAGTCACTTTCAAAAGAGAATTTGATAAATACTTGTGCAGAAATATTTACAGGCTTATAGGGATTAATTGGATGCATCTGATAAAAGATTGAGCACAGGCACAATGGGACAAATGGTCATTCTGTGCTGTGTCATTCTGATTCTATGATTTATTTTTGCACTGGGGAGACCAGAAAAAAAGTTATTCTTTGTGAAAGAACTCGTCTCTGTATTGGGTAGCTTTCAACCTGGGTCCATCACAATGTCTGTCTGTTCTAGTAAAACTGCTCTCCTTAATATTTGAGGATTCTGTTAATAAAAGGCAAGGGGTCAGTTAGCTGAGCTAGCTGGACAAATGGTTTGTGATGCAGAGTTGAATTCCTACACTTAAGTTACCATGAATGACTGTCCTTCTCAAACTCTCCCCTCATCTGAGGCTTGGTAACCCTCAGGTTAAACTGTCATCAGTCATCTTTCTCCAATGAGACAGAAGCCCTACGGTCTGGTAGGGTAATGGCAATTTCACCTTTTTAATAGATGTTCTCATATTCTCTTCCTTGCAAACTCACAATATTAGACACTGTACCATTCAAACGTATTCTGGCTGAAGATTTCAGGATTGGAGGGAAGACAGATTCCAATATTGAAGTCATGACAAAGACTGAATTACACAGTTTTGAAATCCAAGTTTAACATCACATCCGAATTTTTGATTTAGATGGAAAGTTTCATTTAAAGTGGCCATTTTACCATAAGAGGCTTATCCTCTGCACAGCATTAATCTTAAGCCAATGCGCTTACTATGTTCTAGTGCCAATAATGCAGGCTGCTTTGTCTTAGATGGTATCAAGCTTCTTGAATGTTCAAGTGTATTGTTGGAGCTGCACTCATCCAGGCAAGAGAGGAGCATTTCATCACACACCTGATTTTTGCCTTGTAGATTCTGGACATGCAGAAAGTGATTCATTTGCTGCAGGATTCCTAATCTCTGACATTTTCTCTGACCTTATATGGCTAGTCTAGTTCAGTTTCTGGTTTGTTAGCTTTGAAAGGACAGCTATGTAAATTTAACAGAGGAAAAAGCCAGCAAAAGAAAAATCAGGATTAAATGGAATTGGAATTGGGTGTACTGGTCGTACTGGAGTTCCATTTGAAGTGTACAAGACGAAACAGACCAGTCTGAATGGTTTACGAGTTTTCTTTTTCCAGGATATTGCCTGGACTTGGAGTTAAATTGCGAGGAGTGACTACACAATCAGAGCACATTGGAATTTGGAAAGAACAGCCACAATTTGGTCAACATTTTCAAAATATTAAAGAAACAGAGGATAGATAGAGAGAAACTATTCCTGCTAGTTACTGAGCCTAGGACTATGGGGATAGTCAAAAATTAAGCCTGCCTTTATTAGGAAATGAAATCAAGAAACATACAAATACGGTTTGAGTTTAGAATACCCTTCCAAAGCGAGCAATTGATACTAGATCAATTGTAACTTTTAAATAAGAAGTAGTTTTTGTTTTGTTAGCCAAAAGTTTTATTCAGGGATTTAGGGCAAAGGCACACCTATGAAGTTAGGTCACAGCTCAGCCATAAGCTTATTGAATAGCAAATGGTCTTGGGATGATAACTGGCAACTCCTGTTCCAATATTCCCATGTTTCTTCTTGCTATACTTTTCTGCTTTAGTGGTCACTTTGCAGTAATTGCACTGGATTGCTTATCTGTGTGTCTCTTTCTTTCTCTCAAAGCAGTGTGCTCTTTTCTCCAATTAAGTTTATCTCACTGCATTTTTTCTCTCACCCTCGTTTCTTCAAGTTATGAAGTTTGGCGTCAAGCATTTTGTCTGCTTCTATCTTTTATCTCATTTGTTCATGTGATTCTGGGTGTTGCTGACTAGGCCAGCATTTAATGCCAATCTTTAATTGCCCTGGAAAAGGTGGTGATGCATTTTTAAACCATTGCAGTCTTTGGGTGTGTAGCATTGTTAGAAATTGGATTTTTAAAAATAAAATGCACCTGATCATTGATAAAAGTCTCTACCATCTTGTATGTATTCAAATCAGGAGATGATTATCTTGAATACCATAGTGAGCAGCAGCAACACGGGTGTAAAATTTCAATCATTCATTTCTATCCATTTAAACGATGGAAAGAATATCTGACGTTAATTTTCATCTCAGTGCCTCAGTGGATCAGGCAGAAGCCCAGTGTGATGCCCCACCCATTGCCTTCAAAGAAAAGTAAAGTTGGTGGCGTAAAACCAACACAGTACTTCCTCCCATGGGGTACGTGGACACTGGGTTAAGACAAAATTGGCGACTCTTGTTCAGCAGGCTCACATTTTCGTGACAGAGCTCCCCAAGGGAACTTGTTTGCTGCCCTGACACCCAAAAGGTGGGTGGAGTCAGCCCTCCAATTTACTAGAAAGAAATACAATTTTTGGCTTCAACAACATATTCTTATTTATTTGTGGGATTTGGACATCGCTGGCAAGATGAGCATTTACTTCCTATTCCTAAGCAATCTTGAGAAGCTGGTGTGAACCATCTTGTAGTACTGCGTCCTGTGTGTGGTAAGTGCACCCACCGTGCTATTCAGAAGTGAGTTCCAGGATATTGATCCAGCAGCAGTGAAGGAATGGTGATATAGTTTTAACTCCGGATGGTGAGTAACTTAGTGTAGTAGTGATATTTCATGTATCTGCTCTTTTTGTTCCTCTAGCTGGTAGAGGTCACAGGCTTTTGCATATATTTCTGGAGTTGCTGCAGTGCATCTTCATGGTACACACTGCTGCCATTGTGCAGTGTTATTTGAGGGAGTAAATATAACATGGTGGATGAGATGCCACATGAGTCTACTGTTTTACTGGATAATGTCAAGCTTCCTGGCAGTTAGTGGAACTTCACTGATCAAAGCCATTGGAGAATATTCCATCAGATTCGTGGAACTTTGTAGATGATGCACAGGCTTTGCTGAATTTGTATGTGAGTAATTTTAATGCTGCTCTTGTAGCCATAAGGGCTCATGTATTTTTAATAGCTAGTCTAGTTCTGCTCAATGATAACCCCCAAGATATTGATGGTGGGGAATTTGGTGGTGATAATGTCATTGAACATCAAAGGATGATGGTTAGTTTCTCTATTGTTGAAGATAGACATTGCCTGGCATTTGTGTAGCACAACTGTCATTTACCACTTGTCAGCCCAAACCTAGATATTGTCCAAGTCTTCCTGCATTTGAATGTTGACTGCTTCAGTGTCTGTTGCGAATGGTGCTGAACACTTTGTAATCATCAGCAAACATCTCCACTTCTGACCTTATGATGGGGGGAAGGTCATTGATGAAGCAGCTGAAGATGATTGGGCGTATGACACACCCTGAGGAACTCCTGCAGAGATGTTCTTGAGCTGAGGTGATTGACCTCCAGTAACCACAACCATCTTCCTATGTGCCAGGTATGACTCCAACCAATGGAGAGTCTTTTCCTGATTCCCATTGATTTCACTTTTACAGGAGTTTTCACTCCACACTTTAGCAACCATACCTATGGGTCTTTTTGAAAAGTGAGGGAGAAGAAGGTCCATTAAGTCCAGAAGCCTTTTAATGAAACTAGGCCTCTGTTTTAGTTGAACGGAGGCAGTGCATAAGGGTAAAGTCACAATGGAGGGATGGAATGTGTAGAGGACAATCAGGCTAATTTTTGTCTTTGATTTGCTTTGCAGGTGGATTTCTGGAGCTGCAGTAGTAAATGCCTTCTATTCTTCCAGCAGAAACCAAATAGGTACAACTCTTCATTAAAAATCTAATAGTTCCTTATTTGCATAGTTAAAATGAAATGTTTTCATGCTATTTGTGTTATCCAATTTACTGACTTTACTTTTACAGGTACAGTTTAAACTTAAACTGTTGTCAGGTACTGATTACAATAATGCTTGTTAAAAGGGTTGGCTCATTGTATTTTTATTTATTGGAACATAGAGGCCTGGCTACTACCCTTGAATAGTCAAAGGAATGGGATATCTGCATTTTGTAAATAGTTAATAAAGTATCTATAAATTCAGGCCACTTGGCCCATCTGTTCCATGCTGGTATTTAGGCTTCACATGCACCTCCTCCCAAACTACTTCATCTAAACTTATTGGTGTATTCTTTTCTTCCTTTCTCCCTTAAGGCTCCTTTTTATGTGCATCCGTTATTTACCTCAACCACTCCCTGTGAGCCCCACATTCTCACCAGTTTCTGAGTAAAGAAGTTTCTCTCTTGAATTCCACTTTGGATTTATTAATGATTATCTTGTATTTATAGCCCCTAGGTCTGCGCACAATTACAAATGGAAATATCTAGTGTGCATTTGCTCTATTTAACTCTTTCATGATCTTAGGGGCAGCTATCGGTCAAATTTCAGTTTACCCTTTCCTAAAGTAAAGGGCTGAATTCCTAGGTTTTATTCACATTGTTATCGAGAGCCATAACTTCGAAAAAGTTAAAATAAATTTCCCATTACCAGAAGTAAGAATTCCACAAAAGCATTATGTTTTAAGACGTTTACTATCACAAACAAGTGGAGATGGATGTATTACAGTGGTAATGTCACTGGAGTAGTAATCCAGAGACCTAGAGTGATAGTTTGGGGATGTGGATCCAAATCCTACTGTAACCCATGTTGAAATGGAAATTCAATCAGAATCTGGAATATTAAACCAGCATAATAACAAACACTAACCATTGTCAATTGTTTCTCAAGTGTTCTTCATACCATAAATCTGCTGGCCTGCTGATGTGGTTGAATCTTAACCATCTTTTCAGATGGCCTTAGCAAGCCACTGGGTTCAAAGATAATTGAGGATGGGCAATAAATGCAGACCCAGTCAACAAATCCCACACAGGTGACTTCTTAGTCCTTAAATCCCCACAAGTTACGTCTTAACAAACAGAAAGTCCGCTCTCCTCGGCATCCTACATACACACAGCAATCTGTTTCTCTGCCTGGTACAGGCTGTCTCTCTCCATGTCTCTGACACTGAGAGTCTGTGTCCAGATCGACCAGCTGGTTCTGTTTTTAGGTCAGTGTATGAAAACTGCACTTAATTCTCCACAGATTTCAGCCTGGGCCTCTTGTCCTAAGAAAATCATAGGATTTCCAATTTTATTCACACAGGTACAATTTGAAGTTAAATATTTGTCAGATATTGATTACGGTACTGCTTGTTGAAAAGGTTGGTTCATAGTGTTTTTATTTATTAGACTGTAGAGGCCTGGCGGCTACCCTTACATAATCAAAGGATTTGGATATCTGCATTTAGGGCGGCATGGTGACTCAGTGGTTAGCACTGCCGCCTCACAGTGCCAGGGACCCAGGTTTGATTCCACCCACGGTTTGTGAGGAGTTTGCATGTTCTCCCTGTGTCTGCGTGGGTTTCCACCAGGTGCTCTGGTTTCCTCCCACAGTCAAAAGATGTGCAAGTTAGGTGGATCGGCGATGCCAAATCACCCATAGTGTTCAGGGATGTGGAGGTTAGGTGCATTAGCCATAGGAAATGCAGGGTTAGAAGAATAGGGTAGGCGAATGGGTCTGGTGGGATCCTCTTCCGAGGATCATTGTGGACTGTTTGGGCCAAATGGCCTATTTTCACACAGTTGCTGTACGATCTTCTGTTGAGAGGGCAGATATTTTATCTGCTAATCTATTCCTGTCTACTTCATTCTTGTTTTATCTAGTTTCCCCTTAAATGGATTATTCATTGAAAACACTCCTTCAGCAACTTCCTGTTATGGAGTTATAGAGTCATACAACACGGAAGCAGACCCTTCGGTCCAAACAATCCATGCTGACCATAATCCCAAACTAAACTAATCCCACCTGCCTGCGTTTGGCCTTTATCCTTCCAAACATCTCTTACTCATGTACTTATCCAAATGTCTTCTAAACATTGCAACTGTACTTGCATCCACCACTTCCTCTGGAAGTTCATTCCACGCACAAACCACTCTGTTTTAAAACAAAAGTTGCTCCTCATGTATTTTTTTTAATCTTTCTCCTCTTACCTAAAAATATGTCCCTTAGTCTTGAAATCCCCCACCCTAGGGAAAAGACACCCGCCATTCACCTTTATCTGTACCCCTCACGATTTTATAAACCTGTACAAGGGCACCCCTCAATCTCCTATGCTTCAGTGAACAAAAAGTCGCAGCCTATCCTGCCTCTCCTTATAACTCCAACCCTCCATTCCCAGCAACGTCCTGGTAAATCTTTTCTGTACCCTGTCTAGCTTAATAATATCCTTCCTATAACAGGATGATCAGACTACACACAGTACTCCTACAGTGGCCTCTCTAATGTGCTGTACAACCTCAACATAATGCCGCAACTCCTGTACTCAAAGATCTGAGCAATGAAGTCAAGTGTGCTAAATGCCTTCTGATGCACCTTGTCTACATGTCATGTAAGCTTAATCACCCTCTTGGTAAAGAAGTTTTTTCCAAATTTCTCATTGGATTCAGTTATATTCCTAGTATTGGACTGCACCACAAGTGGAAACAGCTTCTCTATGTCTGCACTATCAAAATTGTTTCATAATCTTAGCAACTTTTGTCAGGTCATCCATAGGTCCTTTTTGTTGAAGGGTAAGAATTTAGCTTCAACCTTGTCTCAGCTTTTCAGTCTCAGTATCAAGACCTGTCCAGCTGGCATTAGCTCATTCAGCTCAGACCAGACATAAAACCTTTTTAATGTGTCTGGCCAAGTGTCAGATGGGAGTAATTAAACACAATGAAAAAATGCAGTTAGTACACTTCACATGTCAGCATGTAGAGTTCTATTGAAAGAAAAGGGACCGGCTTATGTAATTTTTTAATATTTTAACAGGTTCTGGTGAAGCACCTTTCAACATTTCGTTGCTCTCAATATATTATATACTCTTGAGTAAAAGTCGATCTCATGTAAAAGTCAACCACCTATTTTTGGCCAAAATATCTTGGATTTTCCATATATCTCGTGTAAAAGTCAACCCTAGTTTTTCACAGATAACAGATCAACATTTGTGAGTCAAGATTTTATCTTGTACATAAATGTTACGGTGAGGAAATGATCATGGGAACTGTGGGAGAGTCAAATGTCTGATAACTTTTTAAATCAGAAATAAAAGCCTAAAATGTTAGTTTGATAAGCTAAAACAATTGTAGATGAGAGAAGACAGAGGGAAATGGAAGAATTTGGCGTGAAAGTTTAAACCGCATCAGGTCAGAGTCAGGCACTTGTGGAATACTGTCATATGCTTAGTTGAGGTTTTGAAATTTATTCGTTTTGTGTCAAAATGCCATCCAGGAGAAAACAAAAAATATACAGCAGTGTTTAACCTGAAATTTGTTGAAGCTGCAGAGAAGAAAATAACTGTATAGCAGCAAGAAAATTTTGTTTCGGAGAAACTTGAGAGACTGGAGAAAGATATTGAACAAACTTCACGCAATGCCAATGCCAAAATGAAAGTGTGCCAACAGAAGTAAACCTGGCAAGTAGTCACAATTGGAGAAAAAGTCGCTGAGTGGATACTTGAACATCATCAAAATGGAAGATGTATTAGTCATGAAACCATTCGAATTCATGCATGAAACACCTCCAAAGAAGGATGGAATTTTGGATTTTAAGGCAAATGCTGGATGGTGCACAAGGTTCATGAGAAGGCATGACTTAGTACTTCGGCAGAGAATGAGATTGCACAAAAGCTTTGCGCTGAACTCAAAGATATTATAGTTTCACCAGTTTATCAGAAATTGGCAGAAGGAAGGCTACAAATTACTATGCATTGGAAGCATGGACGAAATGCCTATTACTCTTGAAATGCTGGAGTATCAAACCGTGAACCAAAAAGGAGAAGAAGCAGTATTGGTGAAAACCACTGGCCATGAGAAAAGTAGGTTTATTTTAGTTCTTTCTTGTTTGACTGATGGCACTATGTTAAAACCAATGGCTGTTTTTAAGGAAAACTCTTTGCCAAAGGAGAAATTTCCAAAAGTAATTGTCCGTATTCATCCACAAGGCTGGATGGATGAAGGTTGATGTAGAAAATGGATAAAGGAAGTTTGGAATTTACAACCTGGTGGACTATGCAAGGGAAAGAGTTTGCTCGTCTGGGACCAATTGAGATCACATCTAGTGAAGAATGTTGTTGATAATATCAAATCACATAACACTGCTATAGCTATAATTCCCAGCGGACTTAAGTGTTTTGCAACCAATAGATGTTAGTATCAATAAGCCATTTAAGGACATGATGAGAATGAAGTGGAATAGCTGGAGGCGTGATGGAGAAAAAACATACATGAAAGCAGGCAGTATGCAGGCTCCATCATTGCCACTGATCTATGAATGGATTGTTGATTCATGGAAGGAAATAAAAGCTGACACTATTTTTCAAATCATTCAAGAAATGTGGAATTTCAAATGCATTGGATGGTACAGAGGACGATTATCTATGGGATGACATAGATGAAGAAGAAGAAACAGATGATGTGCTATCTCTAACAATGGACAGCAAAGATGAAGAGGATCCATATGACGATATCATTCATCCTGATGATTATGAAGCTTTATTCGGTGCTGAAGATGTTGAACAGTGTGATTTTGCAAGATTTTAATGAACTTTTGTATTTGAATGTTTAATTTAAGATGTACCATGTAATTGTAATTTAAAGCCATATTACATTTTTGCTTCACTTTTTGTATGTATAAATAAAAGCTTACTAATTCATTTTTGTTTCTGTTGTCTTTATCTGGTAATTACC